TGTTTGGAGTAGAATCATCCTGTGCTTCTCAACACACCAGACAAATTGCATGGCATGCAACTAGTGGTTTAAGAGAAACTTCCAAGAGAGAAAAATGTCACAGAAAATACCCAAGCTCAAATTACTGCCTCACACTTTTAAACAACATTAAGCAATGTCTCCTCCTCCTCCTCAAAAAAAAAAAAAAAAAAAAAAGAAAGAAAAAAAGAAAAAGAAATTAGAAAAGTCTATACACCCATGGGTGATGATATTTGCAGATCTTACAGCCCGAGTTTAAAGGGAGTTTATCAAAACAAAAGGTCAGCACATTTTCATTCCTTCTATGATATTTTCCCCAAGTTCCAAGATTGTATTTCAGAGTCGTACTCTTACTGCAGGTGCAATTAGAGTTGCTGTCAGGGAGTCCAGGGCTCATGGGCCATGCTCATCAGCCCCTTTTCCCAATACTGCTGTGAAGGACACAGCAGTAATCCTTCTCCAGCATAGAAAGTGAACATCCCTCCACAAACCCTCATACTGAAAGCCTGCTGCTTCTCTATGGTAGAATTGTTATCTCACTTACATGTTTTCCCAGTAATTATCTTTATAGGAACAGGACTTATGGTCACCCAGTAGCCTACTTCATCCTTAAAGCACAGCCTGCGTGGTTACATACTTGCAGGGGCTTTTAAAATACATCATCCAATCCAAATATACAGTGACAATTCCAGAACCATTTGGAAAACCGTATTACCATTTTCTACTAAATGAGTTCTTCTCCCTAAGGGCTCTCCAGAGAAGCCAATGCTTTAGTGCACTAAGCTACCTATGAGAAAGCTGAAGCTCAAACTAACTCAATTCCTGAAAGGCAGCTGCAGTTTCAGGTGGTGTGAAATGGCAAATAAAAGAGAAGATTATGAAATAGAATTAAATGCAGCATCCTCAGGAGGCCTTGATATATAACGGGTAAAATTCCACTCACCTTAATCCAGCATATTATCCTGTTCAACTGAATGGGCCTAGCTGTATGAATAAATATGGCAGGATTTGGTCTCATATGCTTATTGCTTCTCTTTTCAAACAATATAAAATGCACAGTTTGGACCCATTAATAATGTTGTAGTTTGTTTGCATTCTTATATCATTAGAGATGGATTGGATTAACACAGGTATACTAAATTACAGTAAAAGAAGCTTACAGAAGAGAACAGGATGGTAAGTGGTTCACAAAGGTGTGCTCAGAAAGCTCATCAGGAAAACATGCATATCCTCATCAAGTGAAAATACAGGAAGCAGAAGCTACTGACTGTTTGAGAAGTCCTAGACAGACTCTCATCATATTTCAACTGATCATGCTTTAATTACACATCTAAAATCATTTTGAATTAATTTCAATAAAATACCTACAGTAGAAGCAGAAGTAAGAATCAATACTCGTCCCACCAATTACCAAGTGAATGTAAACAACCATTGGACTCCAAAAAGGGCAGATCAGGTGTATGTAAATATCTATATGGGTCAAGACCAAGACTGCAGATATCATATGTAAGACCTTGTTGATGTTCAGAACATTCTTTAAACACAGCATCTCAGGTTTCTCTCTTTACACCTAGAAGTAGATAACTTAATCTACATGTTTATTGACCTGACACTGAACATGACAATATCTACCTTCTACAGCTTTTCCTGTACATTTGGCCTTCAGCTAGCAGGTGATCAAATGTTCAAAACAAGGTCTCAATTCTCATCTGCTTTCTACCTCTGCACATCCAACCCAACAACTCAGAAAGCTGTACAACTTCCTACTGACTTCATTCAGCCCTCAGTTATACACTCAGGTTTGCATCAAGGGTGTCCAAACCCTGCCAGATCTAAGCAGCAAGATGAACAACTCTGCAGACTGCAAACCAGTAGTGTCAGTCCTGTGAGAAGCTTGCATTGCATGACCTAGTTCAAATTGCACACAATGGAGGTGTAGTAGAACCCACGAAACTGCACCTGTAGAGGAAGGATACCACAAGCAGCCAGGCAACAACTGCAAGCACTTTCAGCTGTGCCAGCCAATCATCTGTCCACCACTTCATGTTCCCATTGCTTGCCAACCACAGCTTGTCAGCCTAGGACTACCTACACTGTTTGGGAAAGAAGCACAATAGGAAATTCCTCTCTAGGCACCAAAGTCACAAAAAGTTCTATCCTGCTAGGAACTAGCAGGATACAGCTGAAGAATGGCTCATACGAAGCTATAGAAACTCCAGCAGGTTTCCAATTTGCAATTTCAAAAATTATTTATGAATAGTCCAGTACTATACAACTCTTTTCTGCACAAAGACATTGATAAACATTAATGAATTAGGTTTCATAACACAGAAAAGGGAAGTATTATGCTTCCCTAGTAAAGATAAGGGAAAGAACATACAGAGCAGTTAAACAAGAGATAAGGGAAAGAACATACGGAGCAGTTAAACAATTCTGAGGTTCATATGGGAAGTTTGGAAACTCAGAAATAGCTTCGGAGCTGAGACTTCCAAATGAATTTCAGGTGTCTCCATTATACAACTCAGAATGGCTTAAGACAGCAACTGTAAGGTCCACACATGTTTGCTATCAGGCTACTCAAAAGTATCCACAATCAGATAACTATTGCTACTAATGACCTTGGCAAAACCGAGTCCATACTCCTGACTCCTGCTCCAGTTTTCAGTGCTGCAAAACATTGTCCTACCAAGATATGGTGGGAGCTAATTGAAGACTGTAACTTCTCAGCCAGCCAAAAACTAAAGCTCTATGTTGCTTAAGGACTGGTTTGTCTTCTAATCTGTTCAAAGGAGCTTAAATAGGTTATTTTTAGACTAGAAATTTGGGATAAGTCCTGGGGTTTGTAGAATAGTTATGCTCCAAGAAATACTTTCACTCAAAAATAGATGATTACAACAGTTTCTATAAATTGTTTGACAAAGACAGACATTACAGTTTGTTCTAGTTTTCACTGAAATAAAGCCAGCAAATTTCTCATGCCAGTACTATAACAATAATCATGCTGATAGTGTTATTTCAGTTTACCAATGACAAAATCCAAAATGTTACAAATTAGATCAAGCATCAAATAAAATTAAGCAGAAGATAAGAAATGCTAAAGGAAATGAATACTAATAAAAATGAAATGTTTACATTTCTGTGTTCAGATACAAGCTTGACATATACAAGCAATCTTATGTTGAACTACAGCTCTATTTCCCCCTTTGTTGTATCCCTTTATTTTTTATTTTTTTTCCTTTTTTTTTTTAATTTAAAGGCAGACTTTGCAGACAAGAATATTATGAGAGAGCACATTTTGCTTGTAAGGATATTTATTTTAGGACAGGGGAAGGCAAACAGGGCTCAAACCAATGAAAAGCTTTAAAGAAAGGCAAATCAATTAAAAATGCCAGAGGGCAGACATTGCTTAGAAAAAGAAGAGACTTTGACAAATTTCAAATAGCTATGCCATTATGAACTACAAGGTTCCTAACAGCAAACAAAAATAAGTTGCATTCATACCCACAAATATTCATGGGAGAATAAGGCATCTGATACATCATGGATAATATAGATCTATGCTTTCACAGGCTGAATAAACAAGCCACATGACTGACTTAGTGTTTGGTGGGTACTTTGAAGATGAAAAGCAATGTATAAAATGTTAGGTGTTATTCTTAAGACACCCAAGGCAGCCAGCCTTCAAACTCAGCTGCTGACTTATTAGCCTTATTGATCTGACATTGCATTATTTTTTGCACCACAAACCCCATTAGTTTTCAGTAGAAGGCAGGCACTGAAAAAGACAATACTCACAAAAAGATTTGTAATTTGGGAGTTCAAAAAAGTATATTCCAATTTTGGCAACTCACTAGAATAAGAACAACACTGCCATTGCTGAATGTATCCTTTGACTGTAACTATAATTTAAAAGCATTGTCCGATGTAATTTCTTTTTTTTTTTTTTCACACAGTGATTCCAGGCCAATTATTTATCCCCCCTTTTCTCCCCCCCTTAAGAACAGTGTTTTGAAGTCAGCCAATGAAACATGTTTTATTTAAGGACTATATTCCTAGAGCAATGGAATGGATTCTTTGGAGACCTAAAGGTTGCAGAGCACTTCATTAGTTCCACATAATGAAAGAATGGTGCAATTGAAGGAGGTCTCTAAGGGAGAATGGTGTGAAAATTAGAGACACGTCTGATCACTTGGAAAAAAAAATATTAAAAAAATAAAAAATAAAATTGAGAACAAGGAAAAAAGAAAAAAGGGAGGAAACAAAAAAAAAAAGGAAAAAAATAAACACGTAGATTTTCTAAATAAAGCACACCATCTCCATTCAGTTCACAGAGAAAGGGTGCCTACTCAATCCTCTTACCGTTGACAATATAATAAAACCAGAGGAACTTTTTTGAAGTAGATCTGCACATTCCACATTTGGATTGAGGGGCAATGGACTGTTTAAATTGCTATTTACATTTCCAGCTGTTTTACCAGTGATTTGCCCAACTTAATAGCTCTTTAAGCTTTTAAACAAGAAAATAGCTATTCTCACGACTCGAAGAAGAAACCATGGTTATTTCAGACTGCCTCTATTGTAAAAGGCTTAGACCCCTCTGTCTTTATAGATGCCCTTTCCTTTATAGTACTTCCCTTTTCCATCTCCTCCTACTTTCTAAATCTTCTTCAATTTTTTAGTTCACTTTTTACATTATATACTTTTAGCAACATAACACATCTTTGCCAATACTCCTGATTCAGGGAAAACGTTTGCAGGCAGCCACCAAGTTTCCCCAAGAGAGACTTAAGTTAGCAAGAAAATTAGATTTGCATGTATAATCTTCTGCTAGTTATTGGAGACTTAGCCAGTGTTAAGCAAATGCTTTACAACTGCCAGAAATAATTGTATTTGTTCATCCACTTTCTTCTGGGGATGTATTAAAAAAATCCTAGAAATGTGTACAGCTATAACATAAACTGTATTTTCCGGTTATTTTTCAGGTGAAGGGGAAGAGGAGGGAAAAGGGGCAGTCCACAGATAAGAATGAGACTAAGATGAAAGGTTAAAAAGGGGAGGGGGGATATTTCATAGTCACTCTATAAACCACTGCAATTATTTTGTTATAATTTGAACCCATTAGCTTGTTTAACCTGGTGCTAATAAACTGTAAAATCATGAAGAAGAAATGGAAAACCAAACCCCACCTCCTTCTTTTTCCCTGATCAAAGCTTCAATGTTTTCCTTTTATTAACTCTAAATGTTCCGTGTTTACAGATGATTGTAACACTAGTCAGTTAGTGGGGCAAACAATCAAATCCAAACCTTGCAGGAAGTGGTAGCAGCAGCTCCAATTAAAATGCTTGAAATTAATACAGTTCACTAAAGGATATTGTATTAATGGTTGGACAAATGTAAGCTCTTTGCTCTTAAGATTGTACCCTAACTTAAGTATTTTTAGAGAAAGGAATTGCATCTGGTATAACGCTAACCAGCTGTGATTTTGTTTTAAAGGTAACACTTCATATTTAACAGTCAATATAACCTAAACTAAAATTCCCATTTTTTTGCAAGGCTTGTAAAAGGCAGTTTATTATCCCCAAATTCCCACATTGGCTGCTGCTGAGCAAATGTCTGTCCTGGTGTAATGCACTGGCACGTCACTGACAACATAAGTTTCACTAAGCAAGGTGGGACCAAGAATCAACGGATATTTGGAATACTGTTGTTATAAGACAATTGGCTTGTAACTGGAATACTTGTTCCCTTCAAAAAGGAAGGGGGAAAACCCCCACACCTGAGTCACTGAATGGTGAGAGAGTTCTAGAGAAAGCAGATTTAAGGGTAAATCGGGTGCTATTATTCCTGGCAGAGAGAAAAAAAAAAAGATTCTCAAACAGCACAAACCCCAGGGTCCAGCAGAAGCTAGAAGAAGCTAGAAAAAGATCCAAAAATTCTAAGTAAAACTAGACTTTGGGCTTTGTTAGTGAAAAGACATTGCATTGACTTCTAGCACTCTGCAGGGGGGTTGAAAACACACAGCATTTGGCAGATTTTTTTTTTTTTCTGAAAAACTGTTAACTTAGATTTTGAAAATTCTGAGGCAGCTCTGCTGTTACTACCAAAAAGAAAACGGGGGGCGATTTTGTAAACCCCTAATGTGATAAATCTAGCCCTGCTCAGGAGCACTGTCTAAATATATGGTATAAGAACACATGAAAATTCTGAAAGAATGGCTTGAAAGGAAATTCTTTAGAGCAGGCATTCATCTTGCAGCACTCGGTTCTAAGAAACTTGAAGCTTTCCTACACAAGACAGATTTTTGGTTTTACATAAAATAATTCCTGTTTCTACCATGTTTCTGTTAGCATTCTGTAGCAGTAAGAAATGAAGACTGCAAATCAGATCTTGTTCTGTGCCAAGTTGTTGCTCTATGAATTTAGAGTACATTAAGTATATTCCCTTACCTAGCCTTGTTTTCAACAACTAAAAAAAGCATCAAGATCAGGCTTCATGGAAGTTCCTAACAGAGCAAGAGGAGGAAGGCTACTGTGTACAAGGTGAAAAGAATTAGCTTATAGCCCAAAGCCTATTAAAAGCCAAACGTGTGCAGTAGCCACAGGAAGTCACACTTTGAGTAAGAAAATGTTTGAAAGTAAAACTTTCCAGCACTGGACAAGATTAGCAGCAGATGCATTCCTGTGAACAGCTCTACTAAAAACAACTGTTTACAATAATGAAAATAGGTACAATCACAGCTGCAGGACCAAGACCCATTCTGAGCCACAGGAGCCCTGTATTAGAAAATGCACTTGTATTAAATTAATCTGACTCTTTGCCATAAAGATGGAAGTTTTACTGCCAAGAGAATCATAGTAAAAGGCCAATGACTCAACCTAAGGGCTCTGCAGCATAGGAACAGTTGCACATTTTATGCAGCATTCAGCTGCCACAGGCACCAGAGCTCAGTAATGCCTCCTGGCAAATCTTATTAGGCTTCTTCCTGCTCCATTAAGATCACCAGAGCTTGAAAACAAGGATCAAATCTACCTTCTGATGCCTGGTGATGCAGATCCTTAGGTACAGTCTTTATACTTACCTTTTTACTCACACAGGTAAGACTCAGCCCAGAGATTACAGTTTCTCTAAGAATCTGCATAATACAAATAACTCTTGGTTCCCACAAGGTAGAAATAAGTCTGACACGAGCATGTTGTAAATTTGGATTAACGCATAGCTTAGATGCCTAAAAGATACAGCAGCCCTGAAAGCAAACATGAGACTGTCATGTTATCCTCACAGCTGACTTACCAGTTTCAGTCTGCCTTCACCACTCCCCAAAATAAAACAAACCCCACCAACCAAGACTCCCAAAGACAACCGGAGGCTTTACCTTCTTATTCTCCCAGCAGGGCTGCTTTGCAACCTCTTGCAGACAGCTTCTCTAAGCATTTCCAGCTGCTTGTTAATACACAGGGTGTGGCTGGTGCAACTCACCTTTGCTTCTGCAGACTCTCCCTGCTGTGACTGGGCTTACCCACCTGCAGCCCCTTTTTCAATCAGAGTCCCTGAAAGTGACTGACATGGGGGTGAAAGTGGCTATGCCTATGCAGGGTATACAAATGCAGCACCAGAGGCTGTAAGAAACTACTGATTAGTTATTGTACATATTTCCATGTTGGAATTGTCTTCCCCAAATGACGTTATGTACACAGAAAGGAATTTACAACTTCAGAAATTGTGTTGCAAACAGAAAAGTTTAGAAACAAAGGATTTACTTTAATCTTTACTGCAGGTTGTTACATTTTGAAAGCCTCACAGGTTACTGGGGGATTGTCTGGATATGAGGCATTGCTTGGTGAGATACACCCAGCAAGCCAATACTCGCAGTCTGCAAGAGATGCTCTGAGGTCTGACCACATGAGTGAACCACTTCCCCTGGGTACTGGAGAGAGGACCAGGCCATTGTGAGGTTCACCATTGAGGAGTCAGTTTCTGGGTATGGCCAATTTCCAGCGCTTGAGATGAACTAAGCAAACATGAGCCCAGAGTACATCTGGCTAATTGTATAGTGGGAGCCAAAAATCTTTCTTGACCCCAGTGGTTACCCAGCTAAACCCCTGAAGCACAAGCTTTTATTACAACCATTATCTTTATGCAAATGATGATCATGCTGAGGACCTATTCTGCCTGTTACATATGAAGGAAAAAGGTGAATGAATGATACATTCTGGACAGATTCCTTGACCAGAAGGGACCATTCAAGCCAAAGCCAGTTCGAAAGAATATATTTTAGAAAGATATCCAAACTGCCTCTTAAGACTCTGAGTGATGTCAATCATGCTGTCCCCTTCATCTATTGTTGTAATGTTCAGTTACCCTCCCTACTAAGACACTATCTGAAATCAATGTAAAATTTATCTAGCATGAGCTCTTCCCCATCCAACGAGTTTCTGCAAGCCTGAAAAGTAGTGATAAACTGCTTGGTGGCAGTGCTTTGTTAACACGCCTGCTGATGGCAGTTTTATAACGAGCTCTACTAGCCCTGAACTGCTCTATTTCAGGCTTCGGTGGGATTCATAAGGTGTCTGGGAAATTCTCTCTCAGATGCCAGAAGTTCTGCAAAGGGAACTGGGCAAAACCATGGTTTGTTTTCTTGGATGGAAAAAACAGACAGACATACCAGAAGCAAAGACGCGAAATGAAAATGACTCCAGTTTACAAGCTATGGCAAGAGCATACATAGCTGCAAGGCAAAGTCTTTTATCCCTACTCATGCCTCTGTCTATTCCAGTAATGGCCACACACAAAAGGGCTGCTTGATCTCAGCCTATCAAAACAGACCCTGGAGAAAGCACAAGCAGGGAGAGAAAAAACAATTAGTGCAACAGTAAGTGGGATCCTGAGACAGCAGAAAGTTTCGCACAGCTATTGCCACAGACTCTGATGGCTCAGAGCTCTGAGTGCTAGAAAAGCACAAAACATTAATCTAATTGCAATGGATAAAATGGGGGTCCTTGCCAGCTGGAGATACTGCAACCCAAGCATAGTAGAGTCCATCTTAGTCCATGTCTTCTTGTTCCAGAAATGTCCAAGACAACACAGAAGAGCAATCATCTGGCATTATGGAGAAAACAACTCCTTGGCAGCTCTGGGCTGTGCTCAATTAATGGTTGGAAAATACTATTTGGTTGAACATTGAGTAGTAGCAGGTGCACCTGTTATGCAGCTATTAAAATGCCTGTTCCCCCAATCGATCCCTTACACAGACACTCCTTGGCCTCCAGATGTATCAGTTTTCAAAAGCTCTGTCACTTAAGGCTTCTCTTATCTGGCTCTGTTGCTGCCACCACTGCAGTCACACAACCATGTGTACCTATGTTAGGTTAATCACCCTGCTTCCTGCAGAGCATGCTTCATTTTTGCTGGGTGGCATACACATGAATGCAGCTTCCTGGCTGTGTCTGGTGCCCTTCTGAACTCATTTGCCTGTGACCTTTACTCACTTCAGATTGAACAGGTAAATTCTTTGCTGTTCACACAGCCACCTTTCGCCTTCTGCCTTAAGGGGTGCACATCCTTTCAACTGCAAATAACAGTCCCATAGCTAACAAAGAATTGACTGAAAACTGTTTCTATTCCTGCTTTCTTGCTGGTGTCTGACTCATGTGTTGAAGTCAGACTAAGTACAGTACACAGAAGCTGAAAAATATTTTAGCCCCTGAGGTTGGGAGTGCAGTAAAATTTATTTGTGTTCCTTAACAGTAGCCCACCCAACATTACTGCTGAAAGCCCTATGCTGAGAGTCCAAAATACGAGCATATGCAGAAAGCCTCCCCTAATCCTTTTTAGGAGGCTCAGAGATGGGAAGAGTTAGTGGAATAAAGATGCCAGGCAAAGTGTGGACTTCAGACTGAACAATCCAAAGACTTCATACTGAACAGTATCACTTGGTGTGATTTTGCTGAGCTTCTTTTTTAGAGCATGAACTTCAGTCATTGAAGACACACAATGTATGTCTGCATGAACAGCTTATGCGTCTTCCAAAGCTCTATACCTTAACATACCTTGCACTGGCATGTGGAAGTCTTTCACAAGTTGATTCCTAGACTGTAAGTTCTGATAATTTGTAAATATGAAAAAATGTTCAAAAAATATGTAGACATAGAAAAATGCTCAAAACTAGAGTCCTGGGATGCTCCATTATATGCTTGAAAATATAGCCAGGACGCTGGTCCTCCTTGCAGGGACAAATCCTACATTTGCTGCATTCAGAGAACCTCAGCCTCAGAAGCCAATTTATGTAACCAAACTGTTCCACTAGCTGCACAGGGGGGGAGAAGCATGACAAGCTGTGAGATATAGGTGCAGCCTTGGGAGGCTGAGAACCAGAAGGATTGTCAGAGCTTGTGGAGCACATCTGTGTAGATGTTGCTGCATCCTGATACATGTATGCTATGGTTCTTTGGAGCAATTGGCAGGAAAGTTTGTTCTCTGCCAAAATCTCTCTTAGCAGAGTCACTACAGCACATTTCCAAGGCTGAACAGCTTCTCTGGGTCTGGTATTAACATTTTGGCAGACAGTCCTTTATGCTGTTTGTGAGCACTTCTGTTCTGAGGCTGGTATATATATGTGGTATATATGGCACTGAGACTAAATTTCTCATCACTACTTTCCCTTCTGCTGGGAAGTTAACATATGCTATTGCTCAGCAAAGGACAACATTACATTGTAGTTCCCTTATTTAAAACAATAACAACTGTCTCCTGCACAGAAAACTAATAGGCCCTGTCCCCAGATGGTGTAAATTAGCATGGCACCACTCATGTCTGATTTATAACAACTGAAGATCCAGCCTTCCCAATATACCACATGATTAAGCATGCACTTCACTAGCCTAGAAATGTCTTGAGGGCCATGTAATTGTGTGGTGATGAACTAAACTTTTAATTAAGTTCTCATTTTGAATTAGAATCAATAAGTCAATAAATAGCCTTCACTTGATTTAGATGATAAATATGCCAGCTGAGGCTGCACTCTATGTTCTCCCTACTTTTCAGGCTGTCCTTTCTTCTCCATATGTCAGAATCTAATGAAGGAGCTCTGAAGTATGGTCCTAATATATTATTGTCACACATGGTGATAATACTGGTAGAGTTAGGAGACAGCCAGGTTGCTATTATAAATACAGTTCCCAAGGTTTTATAGCATGTGTTTCAAACTGCAGTCAGCAAAGTTGTTTTTACAAGGAGCTGTCAGCCACAGCTTGAATTTTTGTCAAAATAAAATTAAAACTGGATTTGATTGATTCAATCTGTCAATTTTTCAGGAATTCTGAAGCTATTTTTGTTAACCTCCAGTATAATATGCCTTAGATTTGAAAAATGCAGTTTCATAGCAAGCTTTTAACATGACTAATTACTGATTTTTGTTGGGAGGAGAGAAAGGGCAAATGGGTTTGTATGGTGGTAATGACTCTTATATTTTAAGACTGGACAAGACCTTTCTGACCATCTAGTCTGACCCTTTGAATAGCTAGGTCACAGAATTTCACCCGGTAATTAACACATCTGTCCCAGTAACTTCCAGGTTGAATTACAGCAGATCTTTAGAAAGCTCTTACTTCTCACTGTAGGGAATGTCACAGGCAAACTATATAATCCAGTACTTGGAATGGCACAGCAGAAGTTATCACTTGAGACTTCTACTCTTCACTCTGATTCTGACTCACTGTGTGGTCTTAGGAAAGCAACTTAATTTTTCTGATTTCTCCGTTTTTCCATCTTCTGCAATGAGGAAAATAATATTTAGAAGCCTCAGAGAGGGGGTGGTGAGATGTAACAAGTTATTTGAGGAATGCTTTGAACTATTCAGATAAAAAATGCTATTCTGTAAAAGTAAAGAAAGCCAGTACGATGTATTCAAATTTGAAGAATGATTACTTTTCAGAATGTGCTCTCCCTCTGCATTTGTGTCAAGTTAGCAGCTACTGGTTAGGTGAAAGACTGAATCCCATAGTTCATTGTATGGAATACTTTAGAAAGAAATAGTTTGAAAGTTGGCTTGGATATTTTCACTCCACTTGTAATATTTTTTTGCTAATAGAACGGGTGGTTTTCATTACAACCAGATTTTGTATTCATTTCCACTGGACAAAGCACGTTTCAATAGGATTTTCTCAGGGTCACAAAAACTGTCCCTTTCTTGACTTTCCAAGCAACTGGTAGAAAACTGGATTCTGGAGAGCAGTTGTTACTTTTGTGAAATTAATAGGGCAATTTGCATTCTGGACTTTCACTGTGACTGGACACTGAAACAACAGATGGTTTCATCTTCAAGACCATGATAATACTGCTTGGCACTGGCATGAAAAAAAATTCAGACCATTATTCCTTAAAAAATATCAGTATAAACTGGAATATCCAGGACCTTTTCAAGAGACTTTTACAATTAAGTTCCAATAATAATCCTTACCATTTAGTGGCTCTATTTACCCTGCTAAACACATCTGCTTCAAAAAGCGATTCTTGGCACTTAGGTTAGTGACACAGAATGACCTGAACACACATGGTATTCTGCTGCTCCAAATTGGCACCTTTGTGTCCCTAAGAGATGATGATGATGATGATGACAGAAGGCTCAGGGGGAGTTATTGCTCTCAGAGTTGTTATTGTTCTCTACAATTACCTGAAAGGAGGATGGAGTAAGAAAGTGGTTGGTGATAGTAACAAGTGACAAGTGATAGGACAAGAGGCCTCAAGCTGTGCTAGGGAAGGTTAGGTTGGGTATTAGGAAAAATTTCTCCACCAAAAGGGTGATCGGGTATTGAACAGGCTGCATGGGGAGGTGGTGGAATCACCATTCCTGGAAGCATTAAAAAAACATGTAGATGAGGCCCTTAATGACATGGTTTAGTGGTGGATTTGGAAATCCAGAGGTAATGGTTGGACTTGATGATCTTAAAGGTCTTTTCCAACCTGGCTGATTCTATGATTATTATTATTGTTTTATATTGCAGCTTTATCATTCAAAGCATCCAAAAAACAAGGGAGAAGTAGGACAGTTAGGTGGGTAAGGTCCACACTGATTAGCCAAGCAGAACTACTTACTTGGTCCACTGAAGGAACACATCACAATGAAAACCTCAGAGGTATGTGCTGGGGACATCAGCTCTGCTCCTGGCCCTTCACTGTTCACCAGGACATTTTCTGTGCAAGAGACTACCAGCTGGAGCATAATGACTCCAGGAGCAGTGTCCCAGTGGAGAACACAGAAGAGAGATGAGGAATACACTGAAGCGGTCATTGAAGCGGTGTGGTCAATCACTACTATATACAGTGGATTTCTTCCAAGACAGAAAGCGGGAGGGAGGGGATTCTCCCAAAATAACAGTAAAACTGTAGACCTACAGAAGTGGTACATTTGCCTCAATGTAGCTATGTAGCTGATTTTGTTTTTTAACATCTGTACAGCTAGGTGCTTTAGAAATACAATGTCTATGGTAAGAACCTGTGTTCTTTGCCTCTGTGTTTTTCCAGATCAGTTGAATTAGAAATTCAACACCAGTTTAGAGTCCTCAAAGACTACGTAGGACTCAAAGAGAAATGTGTGTGATGTTTTGGGAAGCCTCTAAATCTTGGTAATGGAGAACACTAGACTGAAATCTACGTCCAGGGACATACCCTAAGCCCCCAAAGTCAAAAGTAGTGATCAGTCTCTGCCCTATCTGGGTGGGCTGAGCTAAAAAACAGTGGACCAGACTGTAGAAGTAGCCCTGGCAGCCTGATACAGCTCTACTAATGTCAGCCTTCAACAGCAGAAAGTCTGATTCTTCATCTACAAACAGAAGAGAGAAAACAGAAGAGAAAAAGGTGTTTAAATTTTACTTCAACTGGAAATTCTGTAGGAAGTACAAGAACCGTTTAGCTTTCTAATTGCATTCACTAGTGCTTCAACCCTTACAGCAGTTCCGCCTGACAACAGCTTTAGGGGAGTGGAAGGGCAGGGTGAAAGCCATTAGTAACTATTCTGAGAGTTTAAATAAGCACAAGTAGCATTACAGGGCTACTGTGATCAATATCTCCATGAAGGAGATAATGATGTACCCTGGCTCTATCTGGAATGTGCTGAACAAAATCTCTGGGCAGAAGGAGCTAGATGAGAAATGTGACTTTTTTTTTAATAGTTGAAGATCAGGTCTTCAGCAGAATCAAAATTCTTGCAGGAATGATGTGCTTGCTGCAATCATTTCCCATTTTTACCTGAAAAATCCAAAGCTGAAATCTTTTATGTAAAAGTCTAAAATAGCGGTGTTTCAATGGTATTCAGTCATTTGCTGGGTACTGACAGTGTCCACAGAAGATAAAAAAAATTAAATCAGACACTCACCATTCAGGCTGAATTTCTGTTTGCTTTCTCCCCTCCACCCCCCACCATCTCTCTTGCTCTGTCCCACTGCTGTCAAGGGCAGAGTCACAGTTTTTTAGTTTATAAGGTGCTCTGTCTGCAAAAAATATCTGGAGGACAATAGATTCTCTTATTAGGAAAAAGAAAAGATCTGCCTTCAGAAAACACTGAAAACTGAATAATCAAAGAGAACAGAATCAAACAGAGGTAGCATGAGACCTGCTACATAGGTATTTGCCACAACCCCTCCAATATCCTGTACTTTGTCACAGCACTTGCTTATTGCGTAATCTTTACTTCACTGCAATGCTTGCTTTGCATATTGAAATTATATCTGCCGGGTGAGAATAACCAGCTTCTCTGCACAGGTTCTGACCTGGCTGGAGAGGAGCATCCTCAGTTCAGAAGCTGGGCTGGAATAGCTTTGCATTCTGTGAAGTTTACATTGCCTCATGGCAAAACCTTCAGGGTGATGATTACTTCACACATGTTTGTATGAAACTCAGCAGGGCTGGTTTTGTTTGGCCTTGCTAGCTTCAACTACATAAAAATAACAGATAATATGGTTTTGTTCACACACAGATTCAATGTCTTTCTGAAGGTCAAATGTGGTTGTTATTACCAGGGACCAAAAAAAGAGTCGGGAAAGGGCTTCTAAAAAGAGCGCATTAGCAATGAAAACTTCTTCAGCTGGGGAAAGTTTAGATTCAGGACAATGTTAAACACAGGATTATACAGCCTACATACTCTGACTTCAGCAACCACTTAGATACAATATACCAAATTCTTTCCCGATTTATAGTATTACAGTGGGGTTGTACCCAGAGGTGAATTTAACATGCTGACACTGTTCAGTGCAAAATGCATACAAGCACAAGTAAGCATTGTGAAAGCACTTACAGTTTCATTTCTCAGAATGTTTTTCTGTCCCTTTGGGCATCCAGAAGTACATTGGGACAGAGCTGGTCAGCAAAGGCTACAAGGATAAAAATACAGAGGAAGAAGAAAGGAGATGTTCCTACAAGTGAGCAACACTATTCTGTCACAACTATGTTCAAATATCTAGAGTCCAGAGTAGTTCTGAGTGTAAAAATTACCAGAATCACCTTCTCTGTGAGATGAAGCTCACATTTGTCACTGATAATTCAAAAGTATAAATTGCCACGTTATACTTATTCATTGCTGGCTCACTATTAGGCCAACATCACTTCCCCTTAGAGTTGAACAGTTTGTGAATAGGGTGATACAGACTGTAATGCTGGGATAAGACTCTGAAAACCAAAAAAGAATGAGAACCAAAGAGTCGGACAGTTTCCTGATCTACCTCTTAAGTCCACAGCTGGCAGCTGCCAGATGTATGCCTCATACTTCAGAGTATGCCAAGAAAAAGCCCTTATACGTGTTCTGATACAGAGGATGATAGTGGCCTTCCTGGAGCCCCCTCTTTGCAGGGGTCCTGCAAACATCAGTTTAAGCAGCTTTTACTCCCACTGCCAGGAACTGAGGTTAGTCAATAGCTCCTGTGCAGGCAGAACCACACTATCAATCACACATTTGTCTAGGCAGCGAAGCACCATACTTACAGGTGACAGCTTGGAAAACTGATTTTTACTCTCTTCTGGGTTACAAATATGGGGTTTATTGTTACTATCCTCATTCTAGTAGCCTTCATGTTGAAACTAGTGTGGAAAGAAGACCATCCCATGTATTATACCTAAATGTGAGGTGCAAAGACATTCAGATCACATTAACCAATACACAGAAACCATATCCAAACAAATTGCTGGGTAGCAGCTACTACTGATGGAATTTTTACTTTTTTATGTATACAGGCTTCTGGGTAGGTGTCCTCCACACCTTTGCACTAATGCTAGTTCCCTTAAAATGTGAAATAGCTCGTTTTTCTCATTTACTAATGTGCAGCAGCCGGAGACCAGAAATAAGTGGGAATCTTCAGGGCAGCCATGTAGGACTAGATACAAAGAAATACAGGAAGGTGACTGGACAGATAAAAAGATGTGGTAGCACAGACAAAATTAGATTGGTACTCAACAGTATTTATTCCACTGTGACACTGCTACTAATCTCAACAGAATTAAAAGCTCCAAAGCATTTTGTCAGTGATGTATGCAAGGATTTCTTTGTACTGATAGAGTCAGCTTTCCACCAGCATAAACCACCCATGTAGACAAGCCCACTGTGAACACATAGGGTGTTTACAGCGGTTAGCCTGTCATGCAGATTAAGTCTGAGTTGGAGCAGCCAATCGTTTTGATCTCTTGGCAGCGTGCAGGGCAGATGGAATATTAATCTTCTGAAATATCATTCCATGCAATTTATAATAATCAGGGGACTGATGAGAAAAATCCAGACTGATATTATGGAAAATGGGCCATTTAATAATCTGATGTTGGCAGACTTATAAAAATGGGTAAAAGATTCCAAATATATTTGAAGATTTCGAAGGCACGAAGGAAATAATCCATTTAATTCAATGAAAGTCCAGTCTGGAATTGCCTCATTTGCAGCCAGCTTGACATTTGCTGAAATTTTTGGTGCCAGTACAACTAAATCTCAGTA